ACTACTTTTATTTTTGTGTACATACATTACATTTTCATAAATGTATTGAGAGGCCATAGTTAAAATATTAATTTCCTTAAATTTTTGTCTCAGTGACTCTTTTGGTTTTAAATTATATATTGCTCTAATGGCCCTCTTCTGTAAATAAATATAATTTCAGTGTCAGTTGCGTGTCCCCATAGCAAAATACCATACGAAATAATGCTATGGAAATAACTAAAGTAAACTATTCTAGCTGTTTCAACATTTGTAAAAGTTCTAATCTTTTTTTACAGCATATGCTGCAGAAATAAGTCTGCTAGCTAGTTTTGATATATGGGGGAGCCATTGAAGCTTTGCGTCCAGTGTGATTCCAAGAAAAATGGTGGTATCAACAAGACTCAGTTCCTCCCCATTTAAAATTACATTAGTATTGACATGTTTAACATTAGGAGTTACGAATTTCATACATTTATTTTTAGTTCCATTCAAATGCAAATTATTAACATTAAACCAATTAACTAACTTAGCTATAGCGTTATTTACTTCGTCGTAATTTAATAACTGTCGTTTTAATTTGAAAATTAATGAAGTATCATCAGCAAATAATACTATATCATGGTTATCTCCTACAATGTAAGTTAAGTCATTAATATATACAAGAAACAGTAAGGGGCCGAGAATTGAGCCCTAACGCACGCCCATTTGTACAATCGACCCAGAAGAACTCATACTATTAATGATAACTTTTTGCGTTCTGTCACTTAAATATGAAGTAATTAATTTAAGAGCATCGCTTCTTACACCGTAGTGTTTCCTGATTAATGTTTCATGGTGAACACAATCGAAAGCCTTGGATAGGTCACAGAACACACCCAAAGCATCCTGTGAATTCTCCCATGCATTAAATATATATTTAATCAGCTCAACACCAGCATCAGTTGTCGAGCGACCCCTTGTGAAACCAAATTGATTTTTATGAATTAAATTATTTACATTAAAAAAAAATAACATTTGATCAAGAAAAATTTTTCAAAAATTTTACTGTGTTGGCAGTACAGAAATAGGTCTAAAATTAGCGGGGTCCAATGTACTACCAGATTTAAATAAAGGTATTACTTTACTATGCTTCATTAAATCAGGAAACACACCAGATTCGATACTAGTATTAAAAATAACAGATAGTTGAGGTGCAATTGTATCTATTATAGACGCAATAACTTTAACAGAGAAAAAAACTGCATTTAAAACTGTATAAAATAAAAGAAATATTCCGAAGATATTTGAGGACTGTCGACACTCATTGGGTTAGACACCTTATTACCAGAAAAATTCTCAGAAATTTTAGGCTAGTGCCAAACTTAATAATAATAAAAATAATTTGTGTGTTATCTGGTTGGGATTTTATTTATTTGAGTAATGTTTATTTATTTTACTAGGTTTAATGTATATTAATGTTATGTTATCAATTATCTTTTTTTATCTAATAATTCAGTTTAACCAGATTAGCTCTAGTGTATAATGAAATGGCCTATATACTTTAAAATTAGCTCTATAATAATGTCTTTCAGACCAAATTGTGGTCACTGCGCAGGACTCAGGAGGATCAAGCGCAGTAACAACACTTTATGTGCTTCATGACGGTTAGAAAATCATCAACCTTCTGACTCCGGGCTGTTTCTGAGAGTTTCTTTACGGAATACGCAATAATTAATGTTGGCCCCACCCAAGATTCAAACTTATGATCAGCAAACTCACTTACAACCGCGACACCAACTAGCCAGGTGTGTAAACTATACAGGTTGTATCTTTGATGTATTTTGTCCGTAGAGGAAGAGTGCGAGGAGAGCACGAGCCTCCCCGTGCGGTACCGTCCCGAGTCACCCGCTGCCCTGGCGCGCGCCTCCCGGTTCACTGCGCACGAGATCAACTCATGTACCGCGGCTTCAAGCAGGGCTTCAAGCAGGTTTTTTAATTTAAGATTTTTAACATACAGTTTATCTGATGGTAACTGGCTACTGTAATGCATGGATATCTGCCACCAATTTTTTTTTATAGGATAGGATGACAAACGAGCACACAGTCCACCTGATGGTAAGAGGTTGCTGTGGCCTATAGACATCTACATCTTTCGTCGATTACGAATCAAAATGCAGATGCGTTGTCACCCGTGAGGACTAAGATGGATTGCCTCGTTACCAGTACAAAGGGCCTCCGCTTCTCTACACTCATCACACACAACACGGCAACATTTTCTGTTATTTCGCACTGGTATTCTGTGAATGCATGGTCCTTCCCCAGTCGAGTCGACCCATTCTTGGTCCAACCACTTACAATCAGGTACACCGTGTGCTCGATTGTCACAATAATATAATCAACAAACTACAACGCCAATAGTTTACTAAGTCCTATAAATAGTTTTGTGGGCGAAAACATTTCCAAATTTCAAATCTTAAAACATAGTCGTCTTGTAATTTAAGCGCAAACTTGGGTTAGTACTTTCACTAATCCATTTTTTTATTAGTTAGAGAACTTAAATTTTGTTCCCGAACAAAGTAAACCTGTTTATTTCTAACTGAATACGAAATATACTAATATAATACTCGGTGGTAAGGCTCCTTTTCTACGTACTTTTATATAATACATAAGAGTATATACCACACCGTGTCTTTGTACAAAAATAACTTTTTATGTTTACATTGTAACAATATTTTGGGCGTACATAAATTATTAAATAAATAAATAACGTGTGCAACTTTAGTGTGTAAACTGCCTAACTAAACTAATCTAACTCAATTTGTCCACGTAATATGAATACTTTAAGCTATCACGAACTTGCAAAATATTAGCTATCATTTAAATTATGTCTAATGATAGAATTAGGCATTACTTTGCGGAAATCCATTATAATAAAAAATAAAAATATAAATTTTCCTCGCAACCTTCCGCTAAACAAATACAATGATGTGTGCTACCTGGATGAAGAGCACCTCTCGCCCTCCCTCAATTGCATGCACTAACTCCGTCACCACTAGGCATGCAATTGAGGGAGGACGGGAGGTGCTCTTCAATCCAGGTAAGACACGTCATTGTATTTGTTTAGCGGAAGGTTGCGAGGAAATTTATATTTTTATTTTTTATTAAATTATGTCTTTTAAATACAGATGCATCGCAATACGCGCATTTCGTGTTCAACGCCGTAAAACACAAGCATGGAGACAAATTAAGTTTCGAGGTAAGCTTCCTGATGTTACTTGTAAATGGTAATAATATTCGTCATTCTGTGGAACGCCTAAATATTTCAACATACCCGGAGAAGTATTAAAAATACGAAATGCTTTTATTTTAAATTTAAATATTCAATATTTATTGCCTCAACCCTTCCTTGTCCCATGCATAATATACGAACACTACAATTGTTTAACTATTTTGTCTGTTTGCTGGACAGGAAAACTATTTATAAAAATAATAAAATAAAAACTTAAATTGTCATACAGTACTGCAGCCCAGCAACTACCCCGCGGTGCAGCGGCCAGAACGCTGCTTTTAATTTGAAATGATAAATTTTTTAGAACAATAGTTTTTCATAAATAATTGCGAGCAGGAAATACATTATTTAATTCCTCACTCTCATTTCCACAATCGGGCAACCAGACGGTCAGCTGGTCCTCCTTTGTAGACAATTTTACGCTATGGAACCAAACGGTTCACTTATTCTTTCATAATGCGTACAGCAAAGGAGTGGAATAATTGGCCGGTGTTTGTATTTACGTTCCATTTTGGTTGACATTGGGTGTCATGAATAAATATTTTGCAGGAGTTTCTCGACACGCTGTCACGGGTTGCACGTGGTTCTGTTCAAGAGAAACTCTACAGGGTCTTCGCGCTATACAATGTCGACGGTGATGGGCGGATCTTCAGGTCAGAGATGCTGGCTGTAGTGCAAGCAGTATATGAACTACTTGGGTGGGCGGCGGTGCCCTCAGTACTTCCGGCATCTGCTAAGGATATGGCATTCTCTACCAGCTAACCTTGGGTAGAACAGAGTGAGTTATGGGCAGTAAAGTTGCCATGATCACATTCAATTCAAAATGTACATGCTATACATACATAATATATATATATATATCACATACACCTGTGACCAGTCTGAAATGCGTTGTAAGTCCTGATTAATAGCTGCAAGAGCGGTAGCAATTTCAACCGAGGACGCTTGTGAGTATAACTGAAGGTCGTCAGAATAGAGGTGGTAAGAAGATTGAAGGTGGGTAGTTAGAAGATTGATAACCTGACCAGATAAGAGGAAAACCAGTTCAGTACTGACGAGGAGAAGTGCCTTAGGCGTGAAAGTAATCCAAGATAGAGTAAGTCGTGATCGACACAATTAAATGCGTTTGAAAAGTCAATAAGGACCAGAACAGTCAAACATGACCTCTCCATGCCCTCTCTAAAATCTTCTGTAACTTGAAGTAACGCTGTGGTGGTGTTGATAACGTTGATAATATTTCATATTATTATAATATACCATATGTTTTGCTACAGTATAGTATTATTTAAATAATCAATATTATTTAATATTAAGCTTTTGTAACAAATTCAAATTTTACGTTGTCTTCTATAATCTCAATTAATATGTTCCTTTAAAATATTTTTTTATTTCTTTGTCGATTAGTTAATTTATACCTACTGGATGTGTTTACCGCAAGACCTATAAAATGTAACTTATTACTAAGTGCCATTTGTAAATGTATAAAGACCTAATTGTGCACATACTCCGCATATAAATACTTAAATACAAAGTATTTTTTTTACAATATTTTTAATTAAGTGACAAATCTGCTGTTAAAGTTATTTTTATATGATTAGTTATTTTCTTCGCTATTAACATTAAAAACCAGTGTATATTTGTCATTTTTCGTGAAGCTTAACCACTTCCTCATCAAGTTTATAAGTGTCATGGAAACAGTGTGAAAGTTCTAGTCCGGTACTTTGTGGAGACTGAAGGATACACCAAATCAGAAATGGGTACGTATTTTGTATTTTTTTTTATAAAATAGGAGTGACAAACGAGCACATATTCCACTCCATTCACATTTTATCCTTAACTTAAAATCAAAATGCAGCTTGTCACCCCTAAGGGCTTGTATGGAATGCTTTGTTACCATTATAATGATCTCCGGTTCTCTACACCCACCAGTAGAAACTGCAACAGTAAGCTGATATACTACGCTGATATTCTGTTAGAGCGTGGCCCTTTCCCGGGAGAGGCGACGCATTTGTGCTACAACCATATCGTAGCTGGAGCGTTGCTCTACCATGTAAAGATATATTATATATAAACAAATAATATTACCTTTGCTGGGCACAGAACCCCTCACACTTTTTAATAACTCAGCTATTGATCAATCCATCACTCTGCTGCAGCACTTATCTGCCAACTTCGACTCCAAATATTTTGTTCCTCAGACATGCAGGTTTCCTCACGACATATTTATTTATCGCAACCTGTGTTTGAGCACCGCATGCACCAATTAAATCGTGATTTGTAATTGTAATAAATGTTGTACCGTTTGCTTAGCGTTACAGGAATACGTCGTGAGAACAGAACAGAAACTTTTTTTATTCAATGTAGATTATAACAAATACTTATTGAAAGTCACTTTTTTCATTTACCACTGGTTCGCAAAAAAACCTATGTCCTGGCAAGAAACCCAGCGGGACTATTTTTTTTCCAATAATAGCTTACAATCATGTTTACAATTAGCAACACAAGACAAATTAGAAATAGCTTGGTAGCGATCACCCTTTCCAGGGGTTATTATCATCCATAAATTCCTTAATATTATAATAACCCTTTTTATACAAACTTAGTTTAATAACATTTTTGAACTTTGTGTATGATAAATTTTGTATATTTTCTGGGATTTCGTTGTAAAAGCGTATACGTCACCCCAAGAATGAATTACTGACTCGGTGCAGTCGAGTAACTGGTACTACTAGCTTGTATCTGTTCCTAGTATTTACAGAATGAATATCACTTATTTTCGCAAAACTACTTTTATTTTTGTGTACATACATTACATTTTCATAAATGTATTGAGAGGCCATAGTTAAAATATTAATTTCCTTAAATTTTTGTCTCAGTGACTCTTTTGGTTTTAAATTATATATTGCTCTAATGGCCCTCTTCTGTAAATAAATATAATTTCAGTGTCAGTTGCGTGTCCCCATAGCAAAATACCATACGAAATAATGCTATGGAAATAACTAAAGTAAACTATTTTAGCTGTTTCAACATTGGTAAAAGTTCTAATCTTTTTTTACAGCATATGCTGCAGAACTAAGTCTGCTAGCTAGTTTTGATATATGGGGGAGCCATTGAAGCTTACACAGAAGTGTGATTCCAAGAAAAATGGTGGTATCAACAAGACTCAGTTCCTCCCCATTTAAAATTACATTAGTATTGACATGTTTAACATTAGGAGTTACGAATTTTATACATTTATTTTTAGTTCCATTCAAATGCAAATTATTAACATTAAACCAATTAACTAACTTAGCTATAGAGTTATTTACTTCGTCGTAATTTAACAACTGTCGTTTTAATTTGTAACTGGTTCATTAATGAAGTATCATCAGCAAATAATACTATATCATGGTTATCCCCTACTATGTAAGGTAAGTCATTAATATATACAAGAAACAGAAAGGGGCCGAGAATTGAGCCCTGACGCACGCCCATTTGTACAATCGACTCAGAAGAACTCATACTATTAATGACAACTTTTTGCGTTCTGTCACTTAAATATGAAATAATTAATTTAAGAGCATCGCTTCTTACATCGTAGTGTTTCCTGATTAATGTTTCATGGTGAACACAATCGAAGACTTTGGATAGGTCACAGAACACACCCAAAGCATCCTGTGAATTCTCCCATGCATTAAATATATATTTAATCAGCTCAACACCAGCATCAGTTGTCGAGCGACCCCTTGTGAAACCAAATTGATTTTTATGAAGTAAATTATTTACATTAAAAAAATTAACATTTAATCAAGAAAAATTTTTCAAAAATTTTACTAAGTGTTGGCAGTACAGAAAGAGGTCTAAAAGTATCGGGGTCCAATGTACTACCAGATTTAAATAAAGGTATTACTTTACTATGCTTCATTAAATCAGGAAACACACCAGATTCGATACTAGTATTAAAAATAACAGATAGTTGAGGTGCAATTGTATCTATTATAGACGCAATAACTTTAACAGAGAGAAAAACTGCATTTAAAACTGTATAAAATAAAAGAAATATTCCGAAGATATTTGAGGACTGCCGACACGCATTAGGTTAGACACCTTATTACCAGAAAAATTCTCAGAAATTTTAGGCTAGTGCCAAACTTAATAATAATAAAAATAGTTTGTGTGTTATCTGGTTGGGTTTTTATTTATTTGAGTAATGTTTATTTATTTTACTAGGTTTAATGTATATTAATGTTATGTTATCAATTATCTTTTTTATCTACTAATTCAGCTTAACCAGATTAGCTCTAGTGTATAATGAAAGGGCCTATATACTTTAAAATTAGCTCTATAATAATGTCTTTCAGACCAAATTGTGGTCACAGCGCAGGGCATGATGAGTGTGTTCTCTAGCGTAGATGCACTCTCTATTCACTTATTATCACAGTCCGATGATACGGATGATCCGCTAGGACCTGAGTGTGATCAAGCGCAGTAACAACACTTTATGTGCTTCATGACAGTTAGAAAATCATCAACCTTCTGACTCCGGGCTGTTTCTGAGAGTTTCTTTACGGAATACGCAATAATTAATGTTGGCCCCACCCAAGATTCAAACTTATGATCAGCAAACTCACCAACCGCGACACCAACTAGCCACGTGTGTACACTATACAGGTTGTATAGTGTACACACCTACTCTTTGATGTATTTTGTCCGTAGAGGAAGAGTGCGAGGAGAGCACGAGCCTCCCCGTGCGGTACCGTCCCGAGTCACCCGCTGCCCTGGCGTGCGCCTCCCGGGTTCACTGCGTACGAGATCAACTCATGTACCGCGGCTTCAAACAGATCAGATAGTTGAATTTTTATCGACTATTCGTTCTTCCGGGAAGTCTGCAGTATGTGAACACGTACAGGATCACACACGCCACTATATCAGATTTGATAGACCACAAATCCTCGCTAATGAATTCCGACAAATTCCAATTATAATTCACGAGGCTAACAAAATTAAAAAGTATTCTTTTTTTTTCAATAGAGATGATGGCTGGGTGCTACCATCTGTTTGGGATCCTACAATTAATAAAATTCATTCTTAAACCAAACATACAACTGCAAGACTTCAAGGCACCATAATCTTATTTAGACTATATCGTAACAAAAATTTATAATTTTGAATTGAAAGTAGCCATATTAGCGGTACTATGACATTGGGACGTCACACACCACCTAAACTCCCGGAACTATTAGTACTGTGGAATCGACAGGAATATAAAATAAGTAAATAAACGTGATAATATCCATAAAAATTAGTTTCATTTAAATAGTTTTTTAATTTAAGATTTTTAACGTACAGTTTATCTGATGGTAACTGGCTACTGTAATGCATGGATATCTGCCACCAATTTTTTTTATAGGGTAGGATGACAAACGAGCACAACGTCCATCTGATGGTAAGAGGTTGCTGTGGCCTATAGACATCTACATCTTTCGTCGATTACGAATCAAAATGCAGATGCGTTGTCACCCGTGAGGAATAAGATGGATTGCCTCGTTACCAGTACAAAGGGCCTCCGCTTCTCTACGCTCATCACACACAACACGGCAACATTTTCTGTTATTTCGCACTGGTATTCTGTGAATGCATGGTCCTTCCCCAGTCGAGTCGACCCATTCTTGGTCCAACCACTTACAATCAGGTACACCGTGTGCTCGATTGTCACATTAATATAATCAACAAACTACAACGCCAATAGTTTACTAAGTCCTATAAATAGTTTTGTGGGCGAAAACATTTCCAAATTTCAAATCTTAAAACATAGTCGTCTTGTAATTTAAGCGCAAACTTGGGTTAGTACTTTCACTAATCCATTTTTTTATTAGTTAGAGAACTTAAATTTTGTTCCCGAACAAAGTAAACCTGTTTATTTCTAACTGAATACGAAATATACTAATATAATACTCGGTGGTAAGGCTCCTTTTATACGTACTTTTATATAATACATAAGAGTATATACCACACCGTGTCTTTGTACAAAAATAACTTTTTATGTTTACATTGTAACAATATTTTGGGCGTACATAAATTATTAAATAAATAAATAACGTGTGCAACTTTAGTGTGTAAACTGCCTAACTAAACTAATCTAACTCAAGCTATCACGAACTTGCAAAATATTAGCTATCATTTAAATTATGTCTAATTGATAGAATCAGGCGTTACTTTGCGGAAATCCATTATAATAAAAAAATAAAAATATAAATTTCCTCGCAACCTTCCGCTAAACAAATACAATGATGTGTCTTACCTGGATTGAAGAGCACCTCCCGCCCTCCCTCAATTGCATGCACTAACTCCGTCACCACTAGGCATGCAATTGAGGGAGGGCGGGAGTGTTACACATCATTGTATTTGTTTAGCGGAAGGTTGCGAGGAAATTTATATTTTTATTTTTTATTAAATTATGTCTTTTAAATACAGATGCATCGCAATACGCGCATTTCGTGTTCAACGCTGTAAAACACAAGCATGGAGACAAATTAAGTTTCGAGGTAGGCTTCCTGATGTTACTTGTAAATGGTAATAATATTCGTCATTCTGTGGAACGCCTAAATATTTCAACATACCCGGAGAAGTATTAAAAGTACGAAATGCTTTTATTTCAAATTTAAATATTCAATATTTATTGCCTTAACCCTTCTTTGTCCCATGCATAATATGCGAACATTACAATTGTTTAACTACCTATTTTGTCTGTTTGCTGGACAGGAAAACTATTTATAAAAATAATAAAATAAAAACTTAAATTGTCATACAGTACTGCAGCTCAGCAACTACCCCGCGGTGCAGCGGCCAGAACGCTGCTTTTAATTTGAAATGATAAATTTTTTAGAACAATAGTTTTTCATAAAGAAATGCGAGCAGGAAATACATTATTTAATTCCTTACTCTCATTTCCACCTTCGGGCAACCAGACGGTCAGCTGGTCCTCCTTTGTAGACAATTTTACGCTATGGAACCAAACGGTTCACTTATTCTTTCATAATGCGTACAGCAAAGGAGTGGAATAATTGGCCGGTGTTTGTATTTACGTTCCTTTTTGGTTGACATTGGGTGTCATGAATAAATATTTTGCAGGAGTTTCTCGACACGCTGTCACGGGTTGCACGTGGTTCTGTTCAAGAGAAACTCTACAGGGTCTTCGCGCTATACAATGTCGACGGTGATGGGCGGATCTCCAGGTCAGAGATGCTGGCTGTAGTGCAAGCAGTATATGAACTACTTGGGTGGGCGGCGGCGCCCCCCGTACTTCCGGCATCTGCTAAGGATCACGTAGATAAAGTCTTTGACGTGAGTTCATTTATTCGAAATGAACATTTGAATCGATATATGATCATCATTCATTATTACAAACTATATACGCCCACTGCTGAACAAAAGCCTCCTCCATAGATTGCCTCATAGGGTAGATGTTTGTCATAGTTGCCATGCTTGAAAAGTGGATTGGCAACCGCAGCTTTCTTACCATTATTGACTTGTTATCAAGAATATTACCCGTGGTAGTTCAAAAGTAAAGTTAGCAGTACGCAAGCAACTCGGGATCGTTCGCCGCCGACATCAATGAAATTGCTAATTGAAATTTTAATTACTGATTTACCACGTGCTCGGTGGTGAAGTAAAACATCGTGAGGAAACTTGCAAGTCTGAGAAATAAGAAAAAAATATATTTCGAAGACATGTGAAGTTAGTCAACACGCTGGGCAGCGAGGCGGACATTTTCTTGCCCCAAAACCCTCTCAAAAATGAGAGGTCAGTGCCCACCAGTGGGGCATATATAGGCTGTAACTTTACCATTAACAGGAAGATGATGCTTCCCATCTCCTGTTACAGTTTCCCTTTGTCGACACTTACAAGATGATGAATAACAGTTGGGGAGTAAATTTTCTCCAATGGAAGCTGATAGAGTGACTATCTGATGATTTTTGTTTCTAATGGCTTCCTTTTAACGCAGATGTTCAGCAATAGACTTGTTTTTTATATAGGATAGGGTGATAAACAAGCACACAGTCCACCTAATGATAAGTGTTTGCTGTGGCTCATAGACATCTACATCTATTCTAGATTACGAATCAAAATGCAAATACGTTATTACCCATGAGGACTAAGATGGAATGCCTCGTTTCCGGTGAAAAGGGTCCCCGGTTCTCTACACTCACCATACGAAACACAGCAGCATTAAGCTACTATTTTACGCTGGTATTCTGTGAGAGCGTGATCCTTCCCCGGTTGAGCCGACCCATTCGTGCTACAACTATAATACTAATATAACTGCAGCATGGCTCTACCACGAATACAACTTGTGATGAATAGCAAGATAATCATGACAATGTATCCATACGTGAGTTCATATCCTTGAGACGGACCTCCGTTTTTGGGGCCATGTTAAATTTAATTCTGCTCGTGGCACTAAACACTTACTGCACAGAAGCGTAGTAATCTATTACACACGTATTCTTGAGCTTATTATTCTTGCTGATGGTTTTAAAAATGGGTGATTGAGTGAAATTCATATTTATAGCCGTGTGACTGGAAACAGACACCGCATAAATTATGAAATGAAAAGTTTGTTTTCCAAGTGTTGTCCGATGTCGTTATTCATTAAACAAAATAATAAATTAATGAATTGCTATTCTTAGCAGCCACATGTAGGTGCTGTAGCTTTCCGTGAGCGTGTTAAACCGTTGTTTAACATTGTAATTAAGGATTACTTTCGTACATATTTGGAAATAATTATTTTAGTTTTTTTTTGAGTGAAAAAAAAGTTACATTGTTCTATGTTATAACTGTATGTATATGTTCTCTTAGTGTTTTTAGTATTTATTAAGGATCTACGTGGTAAAGGTAAAGATAGTAGCTCAAAGTGTAAAGGCACAAAAGAGCCAAATCATTTAGTGATGAAATCTATTTTCAGCCACCTTCAAAAACGGAGCACCAAGGATCAAATTCTCGATCTCTTAGTATCGGCTTCAGAAGCTATAACCTTCCTGCCTACAGCCTATTTAAAGACCACTGCTGAAGATAAACCTCCTCCATAGATTGTCCTGTATATGTAGGCTGTGTTGCCAGACAGGTTTATTATAGTGAGTTATGATCAGGAAAATGCAGCTGCCTACTCCCTGTATCGTCACACGGGGCGATATAGGATGGTGAATTCTCTTACACCAGGAGTCAGTTTTAACTTTTTTTATTTCAATTCATGAAGTTGAACGAGGTTCAGTAGTGGTTGCGAGCATACCGTCGCTGTGATCTCACGCATAATTTTACACGTGTACAGATCTCTGTTTACCACAGTAAAAGTCCACTCGACTTCGTGAATTTCAAAAACTTATATGTGGTAAAGCCATGTTGTAGATATATTGCGATTGTAGAACGAATAAGTAGGCTTAACCAGGAAGGACCGCGCTCTCATAGAATACCTTTTCAAAATAGCAGCTTAATACTGCTGTGTTTTGTATGGTGAGTGTAGAGATCCGGAGACCCTCTTTTACTGGAACGAGGTATTCCATCTTAGTCCTCTGGGGTGACAACGCAACGAAACAAAGCAGCATCTTGCTTTGTTTCGTATGGTGAGTGTAGAGAACTGGAGATAGAACAAGGACCTTTCAAAAGCAACAACGTATCTGCACTTTAATTTTTAATCGAGGATCGATGTAGATTTCTACGAGCCACAGCAGCCGCTCACCATCAAGTGTATTGTGTGTTTGCTCGTCACATTTGTTCTATAAGTGGAACATTGCTCCAGCTGATGGACACGAACGGCAACGGCGTGGTGAGTCCGGATGAGCTGGCACGCTGGCACGAGCCGGCGCTGCTGCAGTCGCTACAGACGCTGGACACGGTGTTGTGATGCGCGCCCCCACCCCGGAACACATGCAGGTTTGTTATGTAACAGTGGTGGGTGAAACTCCGTCGCTGTCCTGTAGTTCACGGCCAGTCTACTGTACTGTAATTCGACACTACCGGATATCAGGCGCAGGACCAACGGATTTACGTGCATTCAGAGGCACGGGGGTAAAACACAGCCAACTGTCAGGCCAGAGTAAGACTACTGAAAATTTCTTGACAGAAAAGTCCAATTACTGATTAAGGATCTACCGGATTGGAATCAGGGATCTTATGATCAGCAACCACATTCACGACCAGTACACCAACGAGAGAGCCATCACATCAATCACATCAGCATTAAGCTGTTAATTTACGCTGATAATATGTTGTAAGACCGCGGTTTTTTCCCTACCACTACCGCTCGTGAACTTGCATCAGTGAGCTAGAACTAGGCATGGTCCACTGCTATTGTAGAAAGTTTTGCCTTAATGACTACGCATGATAGGTTGGTTACCGTTCGCAGAACCAGACGTCTCACGCCTTAGACGCTGCTTCCTTTAACAGGTTTGGGCTATTTACATCTAACATACGAGACCCTTTTTACTGGAAACGAGGCATTCCATCTTTGTCCTCACGGATGAAAACACTTTTGGTTTGGGTTCCTTATCGAGGATAAATGTATTTTGGTTGTCTAGAAGAAATTGCCGTCAGCAATAAGACCGCTCGTTGTATACTTCTTTAGTATATATAATCTCTGTAATTTTGTATGGTGTGGCGTAACGAATATTAAATATACAAATAAATGAGATGTAGATGTGTATGCTGTATGCTGTGTGTGCTCATTCAGCACCCTTAGACTTTAAATCCACTGCTGAAGATGAGCTTCTCTCATTGCATCTGCCTCATTCGTCACGCTTGACAATAGGATGCATCATCCAGACGTAAGCACTTTAACGCTGCTGTCCGTCGCCAGTTTGAGTGTTTTGTGTGACGTAAATATGTTCATACCGCCATCTGTTGGACACGATAAGATTTTATATCAATTTCCGTAGTCGACTTATAAGAACCTATAGTACGTTTCTAGGGCAGGCGGAAAAAAGCACATTGACCTCAAGTATTATGTTAGCATCGAAACAAAACGACAGTTATTGTTTTATGCGCTAAGCGTGTCTCATGATAGGGTAGGATCCCAGGTAGTTGAAGGAAGCGGTCATTCAGAGATAATAAACCTTTGTCTCACGCCGTGCGTGATGAATTTTTATTAAGTTTGTTTTGTTAATTGTATTATTACGTCTTGTATTAAAGAATTTGTTATTGTTTTGTGACGTTTTGTATATAGTTATCACTATGTATTTATGAAATCGGGTCCATCGACATGAAAATCTTATAAAGACTTGACGTCACCATGAAAGAAGCAGAAATTGTCGCATATTTCGGAAACCGATTTGTTCTTTGTAGTACTTACCTACTATTAACGTAATAATGAAAATTATAATTACTCATGATTTATAAATAATAAACTTAAATTAATATTCATTTGATTTTTAATTCATTTAGGTACAGGATAATCTCCTTTCTTTATTATATAATAATAGACATAGGGCCTGTAAAGAACTTCGCACTCGGCTCCCTTGCCTTTCACTCTGATGATGTATGTAATGTTAAAAGGATTAAAAAAATGAACCTAAGCAAAAAAGATTGCCCACCCCAATGATATCATCAAAGGTCAATGTACTTTTTTCCGCCTGCGCTAGAAACGTACTATACATAAAGTTGTTTTGAGGGGTACTTAATTTTTTTTACGGTAACTAAAAAATTGTAGAAGTTATAATTTTTTGTTGTATTTTGAGGAAAAATGAAGCGCAGGCGTCCTGTTCTCCCCCCCAAACGGGTTCCCGCCTTGTCGTGGCGGGGGGGCTTAGTAGCCGTGGCTTGGTCTCCCACGGTGAACAAAGAGGAACCCACGTGGCTGGCCTGAGGTGAAGGGCCGGCCTGAGGTGGCCGCTCCGAGTGGGCTTGGGGAGCCCACTTCGGATGTGTGCTGGTGGACTGCAGCGAGTGGGGACTCGCGCACCCTCTACCGCTGCAGCCGAGGTGGAGTCGCGGAGGAAGAGGAGTGTTGGTATGGCGATGCGCCACTCGCCCTATCCTTCGCGACTCAAACGGGGCCGCACCGTTGATGCGGTGGTGGTGGGGCTGTGGCGGGAGAGGATTGTCGGTATTGCGAGGCGCCGCTCTCCCTACCCTCCGCAGCCGAATCTTGGTTGGCGGCGGAGCCATAGACCAGATCCGCCGCTGGGGTCGGGAAGGCTAGTACTTCTAAGTGCTCGTTTTTCCTGGCCCCATGGCCTTTGTGCATCGGACGCGGGGGCGTCTGTTGCACAGACGTAGTTGGAGGCCGTGGAGGAAGGCGCGCCATGTGTTCTGGTGCGCCTTACCTGGGAAGGAGAACGGGGAGGAATTTTCCTCTCCCGAGGAGGTGCTGCCATGGGGCGGCAGGCGCTAGTAGGGCCGCGGATGTGTGCGAAAGCGTTCCCGTAGCCCTGCCAATATGCGACAAAGGTGGAACACCATGGGGTTTTAGTCGGTGCGAGTCCGACATAACCCGTCATTTTCCCCCATGCAAAAAAAAAAAAAAAAAAAAAGTGACCAATCCTATTGATATCACTGCTCCGCCCGCACATCTCTCAGCCAAGGTGCGATTAATTAGTTTTTTCATTGTTTATTCCAACAAATTATACACATTACCTTAGTTTTGATAGTGACTTTTTAGTGGAGATTTTAACATAATTTTGTTCAATTTGTTTTTGTAAAGAATTTTTTTACAAATATCAAGTTAGACACAAGCATGCTTTAAGGCTAGGTTAAGTTCCTTTTAAGCCATGAAAATTTGCGATTATTTATTTGAGATTTGTTTTTCAGTTAACTGAAGAAGCAGCACCTCGGAAGGCGAAACGACGTGGTCCACAATCATTTTCATCTCAAAAGATGCGGTGAACCAAACTAGACTTTAATAAGCTGTACGTAGAAATCAAATGGGATTACTTCATTGTGCTCTTATTACGTTTTTTAATCTAGGACTCATTAAGTATTATAATAAAATTCGCGAGACGAGGGATTTTGGGGACCTGCATGTTTCCTTAAATTCTAAATCCTAAGATTTTAAATACTTAAATTCGCTTATTTTACTACCATACGATTGGTAGTAATTATTACTAATTTTTATTAAAATATTCTTTAAAATCAATCCAATATCGCTTAGTTCACAAATAAAAGAGACAGAAAAAAATAGGAAATTTAGAAGTTACATATTAGATAATTATAAGTAATTCAATATGACGAACTTTTTACCGCGTTTTCATTTTTAAGCTTTGTTTATAACTAGTCTCTAGCTCATCTGGATGTTAGTTTATAATTGATTGCATAATCTTTTCCAAAGGAACTAACAAACAAATAGTTAGACAAGTGAGTTTAGCCTATATAAAAATCTGCCTAACGGAAAAACAAGCAAACTGATAGACAAGTAAGTGAGTTTATCTTACATTTTCATCTAGTTCTGAGCTGTATTTAAAGAGTCTAGTTTTTGCTCTTTAGACAATTATTTTAAAATCGATTACAAAATTCAAACCGAACATACAATTAGAGAAGGAAGCGAGTTGATAGAAACGTGGTAAAAGTCTTATATTTTATCTAATACGTCACGCTTAGTTTAGTTTAAATGACTGCGTGTCTAAAGCACTCTTTATCTAAGTAACCGACGAGATAACTATCATAATAATAAGTACAAATAACACAGCTGTTTTGTTAAAGAAAATGAACTTTGTTTTGTTTATTTTATACAACATTACATTTACATATAAACTTACAGAATGAATGACTGAGCTCAGTTTGAAATCATTGACCCGTATATCCAAACTTGAACACAGTCTTTTTTAGCAGTAGGTATTCAAACCAAACAATATATAAAATACTAATATATTCTTCTTAATTATATTCTTTCTTTTCTTAATTATATTTCTTGATCTTCAATAATATTTCTTATACTTAAGCAAAATCGCAAAACACGAACATGAAGGTAACAGATAAAATAATTATTTCTAGTGTTCAATATAAATTTATCGGACGCTCTGATGTTTAAGATCTTTCTTAATGCTCTAGATCCAGCAAGATTGTAGAATCTTGTTACAACGACGTAAATTTAAAAATCGATTGATAAAAATCGATAAATAAATCGATTAATAATTAGAAATTATAATAAATTCATTGAAATTGATTGATACATAACTTTCAAATAAATTTGTAGGTACGATACGATACGCGCGTCATCTACTGTAAGTGAATTGTATTATTGCATGCCTGTAACCTTCGCGTAAGTACAAGCAATAAGTTGACAAAGGTTTACCGCAATAACGATGAACAGTATTGCAGCGCATAAAATACAAACAAACATTATTTTTTATATATTAAGATTAGACATTTCACGTAATACCTAATTTGTATAATCCCAGTAACATTTTCGTGACGCTAAATGCCAAATTTGAATAATTAGTGATACACGATGTTTTAGAGAATTTATTACGAAATATTTTCTTAATAAATATATATTTAAATTAGTATCAATTTCTTAAAGCAATATTTAATAACTTCTCGTGTATTTTACATTAATCGAAAACTTTAAGTGCATACAATAAATAACCTTAAAGACTCACTCTAACTTTATGAGCACAATTTATCTTTAAAAATAAAGAATTACTAACTTTTTGTTACAAGCCCCATATAAACTACCAGGTGATGGACAGTAAAAATTGACTACATTTCTCCGACAGCTTGCACACGGAGGATCATTGGATCTCGACAACGCTACTTACCGGGTTCAATTGTAAATCTAAATTACACATGGACACACACACACACACACACACAAATATATATATATATATATATATATATATATATATATATACATTTATAGTTAAAGATATGCAGACTATTTTTTCATAACAATTATTATTAATAGAATTT